AAAAAAAAAAAGAAAAGTAAACATTTGAGGTTGACTATGAATATAATAAATTTAGTTGTACTACTTTTCCTGTGGTTCATGTTTCCATCCTCACTTAATATTTATTAGTACCGTATTTTGCCGTGTATAATGTATATTTTTTTGCCCAAATTTTTGTGAAAAATAAGGATGCACATTATACGTGGGTAGTATGGCTTGGGAGCAGGGGAGCCCAGTGGGCCTCCTGGGGCCTGTCAGGTACATGGGATTGCAGTCCAGAAGGATCCAGTGGGAGCTGGCTGGAGTGGCTTCCACTGAGTGCTACAATCAGGGGAGAGGGTGGTGGTAGGGCTATTGAGGCTGGCTGTGGCCAAGCCCAGTAATAGCCAAAGCCTGAGGCCCAGCTGCACAGAGGGAACCAGGAGTCCTGCCCAGGCCCAAGGGAACCACCTGGTTGCCCGCCAGGCTTAGTAGCCTCAGAAGCTCCGGTCCATCTCAGCCACCACTCCTGATGTAGTGGAGAGAAAAGGGGACCTTGGAGAGGGGGAAAAGGTAGCCTTACATAGCGAGTGGCTATAGGAGAGCAGTGCAATCTGCATGTGTACCATGGTAGCCTTAGTCCTCCCCAGATGTATCTCTGCAGTTTGAGAGCTGGCCACTTGATCTCAAAGAGTGTTTTCCTGAAAGTCTGGGTCAAAAATTTGAGTGTGCATTATATATAGGAGTGCATTTTACATGGCAAAATGCAGTAACTATACTTATTTATTTTTTCCCATTTTGATTCAAAAATTATATCTTATGAGAATGTCATCATACATAGTAAATTCAAACATTTTGACATAACTGTTTTTGGTTAAAAAGGATTTGCAGTTACAACCAAGGTTCACCTCACCTGATGGATCACCGGCTCTGCTATCAGTAAATAACCACCCCACTTCCAGTCCTTCAGGGCTTTTGGATTCAGTAGGAAGTGCTATAATGAATAATAATTCTCTACTGCTTGGTCAAAGTCAAAGCCTTGAAACAGATACATGCCTAACCCAAAGCAGTAGTACTGCCTCTACCATGGGTAACCTTCCAGGACCAGATCAAAATCTGCTTGCAATGGATCAACTAGTAGAAGTTGATGATGTTGAGGATACAGGAAATCTGGAAGGAACTGTTCATCAGATTCTGTTGGGAGATGTGCAGACCATTCCAATACAGATTATAGACAACCATCCAGCTCTTAGTAAGTTAAAATCAACTTACGATTTTTTTCAACCTTTTTGGGACTATCACACTATAGATAAAACTATTATTTTTACCCAGTGGTCTAAATAACCAAAATTATGAAAAAGGGGGGAAGTTTTATTAACATCAGTTTAAGAATATTTAAACTTTAAATTTTTTTCTTCTGGGGAGGCTCCTGTGGCTCAGTGAGTAGGGCACCGGCCTCATATGCTGAGGGTGGTGGGTTCGAACCCGGCCCCAGCCAAACTGCAACAAAAGTAGTTGGGCATTGTGGCAGGTGCCTATAGTCCCAGGTACTTGGGAGGCTGAGGCAAGAGAATTGTCTAAGTCAAAGAGCTGGAAGTTGCTGTGAGCTGTGACAGCACAACACTCTACTGAGGGTCATAAAAGTGAAACTCTGTCTGTAAAAAAAAAAATTTTTTTTCTTCTTATTTCTAATCACTTACTCACTAAATTGAAATTATTCTCTTCTGACTTGGTGTTCCAAGTGATAAAAAAATCTGTAGTGATAAGAAACCCGGAAGAACCTTTAGAATGCAAGGAAAAAAATGATAGAAGCAAATAAAACAAAGAAAAATATTTTAGTGCAAAGATTATTATGGAAAACTGGAATGAAGTGGGAAGACATAAAGATTAAAAGGAAGATTTTGAATCATATACTTACATGTTGTGTTCTATAGAAATTAATCTAGTAAGACTTGGGGCTTGGCACCTGTGGCTCAAGTGGCTAAGGTACCAGCCACATACATCTGAGGTGGCGGGTTCAAATCCAGCCCTGACCCGCCAAACAACAATGATGGCTGCAACCAAAAAATAGCCAGGCGTAGTGGCGGGTGCCTGTGGTCCCAGCTACTTGGGAGG